GGGGGGGGGTCTGGTGTTTTTCCTGCTTCTAATCTGTGTTTTGGATTTTTTAATTTTAGCCCCATCTGGGGTGGGCAGGTGGGCCAGTGTCTGCTACACGATGCCGGGAGTCTTTGCCAAAAAGGGATCTGTACAGTAGACCACTCAAAATATGTTTATGAGTACGGCTACAGTATGGTGCAGACCGAGTGCTGGGGGGGGTTTATATAATTATTTCCTCTTTCCAGGACGGCACACGTACGGGGAGGGTGCAGCTGATGGAGAAAATTATAATTCCACCTGAAATCACGAAACCATAGGAACAGATTTCACGTCCCAGCTCAACAGACAGAAGACAAACCCCGGCCCCCTCCCCTCCCCGTCCGTAAAAGAAGCCTTGATAACTCGAGCGGGGGGGCGGGGATTGTTTTTTGCCTCAGGGCGATGAAGTGTCCGTGTCCATGTGGACAAACTGAAGATTTTTCCTCCTTTAAAGGGAGAAGAGTCGACGTGTGCAGGCCAGAGGCCAGCTCGTCAGGCTGATGTCACACCTACTGCACCTCTGCTGCTGCGTCAGGCGCAGGAACAGGAGGGTTCGGCTTCAGCAGCTGCCGCCGGGCTGCTGTGACATCATAAAGCTGCTTCCCTGTTGGGTCGTTCCCTCTCAGATCGAGTCACCTCGGGGCTTCTGCTCCCACGTGTTACGCTCCAAAGTCTGAACATATACATGATACACGTGTCTGTCATATAAGGAGCGCTGTGCAAACTTCATATACCAAAAACACTTTTGGTTGTTGTTGGAAACTGAAATCTGAGGTTTGAACCCTGAAGCCCAAAGCTGTGACGGCTCCTTATCGCGCTGCTGTTACGCTAAAATTAAGCTGTCTGGCTTTTTTCATGTGGTGCTTTAATTATGACTGAGAAATTATTTTTTAACATATGTGCCAGTCTGATAAATCTTACATAAAAAAGAGGCGTTGCAACTTTAACATGTGCACATTTTTGTACATAAAAATAAGAGCAGCAAACGAAAGCGAAGATGAAGCTAAAGCACGGTCGTGCAGACGGTCTCCGTGCAGACGGCGACGTTTTCTCCAGCGCGTCACGTTTTTTTTCCTGAGGTCGGGCGGGTTCAGCGGAGCAGGACGAGGCGTCGCTTTCATGTTTTTCCACTCTGAGCTGAAATTTTGCTGAAACACATCCGAGCCTTCGAATCCAGGAGTCCATAAATCGGTGAAAGATTACACACACGTGCGAGCGCCCGGAGGCGGCGGTTGGTGCGATTCGTGAACACGTCCCCCGAAACGTGCACGTCTAACCCATCGAAACTCTGACATGTGAGGCTTTTATAAACCGTCTTGTCGTGCGTTGGAATTCAGGACGTGAAAAGTAAAAGCTCAAACTTTTGTCTGTCAAACTGAACAGAACGATTATTTTCCATCTCCGTCTGAAAGTCTGAACGATCGTGGCGCCTCATTCCTCTCACGTGTGAGCGCAGGAAGCATTAAATCCTGTGTGTGTGAAAGCTGACTCAGCAGGGAGCATTAAATAAAATACAAAAACATATATTTATAGTCATCCTCTGTTGTATTTGAGTAGATGTCGACTTTTCGGGGAGTTTTTCTGTGTGGAAATGAAATAATTTCCACGAAACAAACAAAGTGGTGCCTGAAATAATTCCGCTCAATGCTGTAAATTTCCTGCAGATGTTTTTTTAGTTCTCCACAGATTCGATTGGACTCGTCGGTGCTGCAGAAGTTAAAAATCTGCCTCTCGGCCCTCGCCCTGCCCCCTCTCCTCTTACTGTACGCTGAATGAAACCGTCCCGCCGTGCAGAGCGGCGGTGACGGCGTATTGTCCCTCACAGACTTACATTTAGGTCGCCTTTCACTTCCTGCTGTGATAAATAGGCTTCAGCCTGATAGCGGCGAGGCTGGATGGACTCGTGTGTTTAGTGTCAGTGTGGAAGAGGACTTGCTGACTTGGGTCTTTCCATTCTGTAAACCTTATTTGACTCCCCGACAGAGGAGGAGGAGGAGGGGGGAGCCGCAGAAAAGAAAAGATTAGGCTCCTGTTAGCGACTGCTCCTCATTGTGCTCCCGTGGGTGCCTCCGTGGGTTTGATTCTTCCTCTTTCTTTCTGCCCCCCGCCTTCCCCCGCACACACGCCCAATCGTGTGCGGCACAGAAAATAAATAACACTTACTTTCTGCTGAATGGCGAACAGTTCAGCGTTGGTCTAGGCCATGTTAGCCTGCCCGTATACAAAGGCGCCACCGGACCCGGCATGATCCGCCGCGTCCTGTGAAACGTCGGGTTCGAGCTTTGACGAGCGGATTCATGAGGCAAAGCTGCCGGAGGACGTCCGCGGACGTCTTTCCGGGCTGTTACAGAGACCAGATCTGCTGGTGCGAGCGTGACAGACGTGCCAACGGTTCACAGCTGTCTCAGTTTCAGGTTAATTCACTGTGTGTCCTGCTGAAGATCGTCAGAGCCTGAGGGCGTGTGTGTGGATGAAGTTCCACCTGCGTGGTTGTTCGTGAGGCCAGAGTCAGATCCCTGAGGCACCGCAGGAAGCTCTTTGCCGTCACCATGAGAGCACAAAGAAAATATCAAATGCTGTTTTGCACGTAAACTATAAAAAAATTAAATGAACTGCACTATATTTGTTAATGAGTGGAGATATTTTTCTCATTTTAGTTTTTTATTTCTTTCATTTTTATTATTGTGAAACACAATAAATGAATTTAGGCCAGTGTCCTTATTTTGAGCACGTGCAGGGATTCATGAGATGTTTTAAAGAAGAAATTTGAACGAATGTAATGCTGCTGATTGTTTGAGTGTATATTTAAATACTGATCATATTTAAGTTCTAAAGTGTGATGGAAGCCCGGCAGAGATCAGATGAATGAGTCCTGCAGCCGTCCCGTAATTAAAGAAAACATAAAAAAAGCTCCAGAACAAAAGCAGGAAATGAATTTGGGCGTTTTGCTGTGAGATCTCGCGTTGAACCTCCCGCACGGCGACGTCCACCAAATTGTGCAGAACCAGAAAGGATATTTTTAATTTTACAGCTTCCAGATATTTATCAAGTATCTGTTGTATATTTTTCTCTGATGCGTTTCTTCTCCCGGCCTTTAAACACGGCAAATCAGCGCGGCGAGGCCGGCGTGTGCAGCGTGACGCCGACACCCTCACCTCAGATTATGCTGCTGTCAACACATTCCCAGGTTGTCGTCACTCATCTTTAGATTTGCGTTCGGGGGGTGATCGCGTTGATAACAGACTGCTGTTGCACTAAACTGTGCATCATCGTTTTTTTGGCGTGCGGAGGAAGTGGCGGAGGGCGGGGTCAAAACTGTTATCACCCTATCATATCTCTGACAGCTACCTGTCAAAATCGGGTCGCAGCAAGAGATGCGAGGATATCCTGCGATGCTGACGAAGCCAAACGCGGCCCTCTCCCTCTTTTCTTCTGTCTCAGTTTGCATTGTTAATTCTCACTGCACTCCAGCATTAGCTTAACGCGAGCGACGACAGCAGCCAGGATAAAAAAAGAAAAACAGGAGGAGGTTATGGGGGGGTGTTTCTGAAGAAAGCTTATGAACTGTCAGCGTTCTGTCAGGAGGAAAACAGCGCGGTCCGTGAACTCGTTTGATGCGTTTGACTTTGTGTGGCGTTCGCACACCGAGCGCAGGAAACGAGGGACAAAGAGGAAAGAATGTGTTGTGTTATGATGTGATGTGTGCAGGGCTGGCACTCAACACGCCTTCCATTTGTCTTCCCCTCCTCGTGTGTGTGTGCTCCAGATGTTGGCGAGGACTTGGTGAAGACAGCGGGGAGTATCCAGCCGCCTCTGCCCCAGCATCGAGAGCGCTCCCTGGGCTCGTCCTCCAAGGACTGCCCTTACTGCGGCAAGTCCTTCCGCACCTCCCATCACCTGAAGGTCCACCTGCGGATACACACAGGTCAGTGCCTCCACCCTGCACCCACCCGCACACCCCCCGCCTGCTCTGCGTCTCTGCAGCTATGAAACATTTATTGGACTTCATGCAAAATTTACTTCAGCGCTTGTTCTGACATTTCTTCTGGGCTCAGGCTGACATATTGGTTTCTGAATATCGGCTCGCAGGAGTCAGTCTCCCTCTGACGTGATGGAGAGGACGCAGATCCATCGATAATCTATCAGTTTGAACATCGATGCGGGAAGAAGACAAAGAAAGAAAGGAACAGAGTACAGGCCGTCACAAACCCAGTCATCCCAGTTCAGCAGTGTCAGGTCTAGTAGGCCTGCCTCGGTCCTAATCTGTCTCTGTCCGTGGGATCTAATCCCAGAGGCTCCGTGTTATCAGCTGCTGGATTTGAGCACGTTTCCTTCAGACTCACATAAATCCAAATTAAGGAAACTGCTGGCGAGCGTGCACTTCCTCTCAGTGTCCCTCATTTAGGCTTAAGGCCATTGTTATTCCACTTTTTTTCCTGCTCATCATTTCATTGAGCTCTAATTAACACAACAAGGGTTCAGTGTCCTCCAATGACATCACTCAGAGGGCAATTTCACACTCTCTAACTCTCAATAACTTTCGAGGCAAAACAAAGCCGGCCTGTCCACCGTTCGCAGGGATGTTCGTGAGACCGTGTGTCGAATAGATTTAGCTTTATGTTTCGGGCGGGTGTGCTAACCCTCGGAGCGGCGCCGTCCCCCCGGTTGTTTTCGGTCAGAGTAATGATGTGGACCGTGGACAGGAGCCAGGGCGCTAACCCTCTGCGAGGTACGAACGCCCCACTGACTATCCAGGTTAAAGTCACATTCAGACTGTGCAGAGGACACCTTACCACAAGGACACCTGGCTAAAGTTTCTCAGGTGTTTCCTGCCTCTCAGCTCCTCAGCTTCCAAACACTGTGGACAGCTCAGCGTTATTATTCACCCGAGGTCTTCCAAACGAGAGTCCTCTCTGGACCACTTTGGCTATCCACGCAAGCATAATCCCACATAAAGAAGAGCGAGATCGATCGTAGTAATAAAGACTTCCTATGAAAAACTGTGAGTTGTTCCTGTGACTGATGCTGCCGGAACAAAGCTGCTTTATGCCATGTTGTTCTGCTAATTCAGCATTACAGCATTAACCCTTAAGCTCACTTGGGTCCCCAGAACACAGTAATAACTCCACGTCAGTCACACGCCATCCTCCCTTGCATCCTGCGTGACGGACCAAACACGAGCGTCCTGCTTTATTGGGTCAGACCTGAAACCGGCGAGTTCACTGAGGACACAGGATGTGCTTTTTCTCACAGGCTTCTATCCAATCAGACTTCATGGGAGTCGCCCCCTGCTGGACAGCAGAGAGAATGCAAGCTTCAGACTCACTTTTCAGACCTGACGATGCATCAGACTCTTATACAGTCCTCTGACTTACTGCGTGAACTGAGCAGATATCTGATGGAATGCTTTTACTGTCAGACTGCAGTAGCTCTGAAAATATCACGACTTCCATGCCTTTACTGACTTTTTACGGGTGGTCGGACTGCGACGCTTTAAGGTCTCTAAACACAACCAGGTCACCTCGAGGCCAACCTCCCCTCCACTTGCTGCTGCTTCTGTGTTACCTGCTGCTGAGAGACCTGAGTTATGTCTGCTTTGAGTAGAGTAGTAATGATCCCCGTGAGGCCCGTATTTTATCGCAGAGGAAGCGGAGCCCTCGGCCGGTCTGATTGAATCCACAGTAGGTTTTATTTTCGTCCTTTCGTATCTCAAACAGACAGTAAAATTAAAGGCCTCGCTTGGAGCCTCCACCTGGGGACAAATGTGAGAAGGTTGAGCGGGGATGTTGTCTTTTTTGGGTGGAATGTATCCTTGGACGCGTGCCCGTCGAGCTTAGATGCAACGAGGGGAGAAAAAGAGCTTGATGCATCCCCAACATGTGGCCTTTAAATCACTCCTATAACCTAATCGTACCAGCTCCGCTGTGACATCCTGATTACATCCACGAGATGACTTTTACAGCGGCTAAAGATCCTCTCTGCGCTCTGGTGACAATGCGGGCAGATTCACAGCTGACAGGCGAGCTCTCCTCCGTCTAATGTAATGTGAGTGACACAATGGAGTTGCTTACCGAGCCTGGTCGAGGCAGCATTATGCGACGCAACGCAGAGATTAATGAGCGACTAACACCAGCTTGAAAGGAATGAAGTGAATTTAAATTTCTCCAAAAGTTAAAGAGCTAATGTTACAGTATTAATTTCCTCTTGAACAGTGAGTGGGAAAATATCCATTAGCAAAATTAACCACAGTTTTCTAGGTAGCTAACATTGTGCGGCTGTGGCACTACAGTGTGGGGCCAGAGCTAATGAACACACTGCAGAGGGTGATATTTCATTATACAAATTAATGCTCACATTTTAATGGGAAAGTCACATAATGAATCTAGGCTTCAGTGACAGCAATTAGAGGCCCAGATTGTCCCCTTCTGGACAAGGCACTATTTAGCAGTAAGCAGCTGTGTGTAAAAAATAAAAAGGTCCTCGCTCTTGACAATAGCCACACATAACTTCAGGCAGGGCCACATAACCAATAAGAGTCCCGGCTCACCTATAAATGAGCAGAGGGAGGAGGAGGAGGAGAGACAGGACTCGCCCGTGTCACTTAACCTTAACCTAACCTTGTAATCAGGATGAATCAGGAGGGACCTGTGATCTCCGTCTCCATTCCTCTCGCTCCCCTGAGCCCTCGTCTTCCTCTTCCTTCTATCTCTCATACATTTTCTTTTGTCGCTGCATTTCCTGCCTCTGTCGAGCAGGAACTTCACAGCAACGGCTCTTCTTGAAGGGGGAATTAAAGAGGAGTGGGACAGTTTTGGAATTTCCTGCTGCAAATTTTAGAATTTAGCCCAACGTGTGAAACATTTCTGTAATACTGACCATGTCGTCTGTTTGAGGTCGTATCCTATCCCAGTGAGCCTCTTTACCCTTTCTCTGGTAACATCGTGATGTTTGGGTCTGCACCTTTCATCACAGAATAAGCATTTATAAAACTGTATTTCCTGTTCGTCATCATCATCAACTTTATTTATAAAGCACTTTAAAACAACCACAGCTGACACAAAGTGCTGTACATTGGAACTGTAAAATAAAATTACATGAGATATAAATAAAAATCAAATAAAAGAAGAGTGAAATCATTAATTAAATAACTACGTCATCCAATAAGAGTTCATTTTCTAAGGGTTTAAATCCGTACACGCAGCTGCCGAACAACTGTTAGCAACGAGCACACAGGAAGGACTGTTTTCCCAGTAACCCAACCTTGTGATGTGACATGGGTGGTGCAAACACCTGAGCACTGGCTAGTGTGAGCTTTGGAAGCTCCAGCCATTTCCAGTCAACACTGGTTCTCGCGTTCCACCCTAACTACAACCCTGATTACCCCCATGTATCAGGGTTATGTACACTAACTACAACCCTGATTACCCCCATGTATCAGGGTTATGTACACTAACTACAACCCTGATTACCACCGTGCCCACTAACTAACTAAACCTGATACCACCATGTAAACTACTATAGCCCCGACACCCTCATGTATCAGGTACACTATAACTCTGAATACCACTGGCCACTGTAACCGTTAGCCTGATTACCCTGACAAGACTAACTTTAACCCTGATTACCGCAGCCAGAGTAACGATCATTTTCCAACACAGTATGCTCTCACATGAATAAAAGTTAAAAGAAAAAAACGTTCACATTTGAAAGTCGGAGGGAGGTCTTTAACCCAGTTTAAACTGGTTCTGTTGCATCATATTCCATCAGTGGTTTATGAAAAATGAGAGCTGTGATAATGTTTAAATATAAACACAAAACAGCTTCCTCTTTGAGGCTTAGCCACTATTTGTGTCACATATGAATCTTCTTTCTAATTAATCTAATACGGTTCAGGTAAACTGTCGAGATGTTAGAAATATAAAATTATTTCTTTGGTAACAAAACCTGCAGTATTTTTGTTCAGATTTTTAAAATGTTTTCTGTGTTTATGGAAAACAGCACAGATATTTGTTTTTAACCACGTGTGTTTTCAGAGGTGTGGCTCTTTCTTTCTGACTGCACTGATGTGGTAAACCTCAGTGTTTAGCTCCACAGTTAACGCACTGCATTAAGAAATATTTGAAAAAGCAAACAACAACAAAGCTGCACAGTTTATGGAAAACAGCCGGATCCTTTTTAAAGCACGTATGTGTGAATAGTTTTCAAGTTTAAATCTTTTTTTATTATTCTGATCGTGTTAGCCGACTAAACCTTATCAATGTTTACCACGAATGTACTTTGTGCTCCTCAGATTTGACGAAAACTGCGGTTTGTTTTGTAATTACACAGTTTCAGTAATTTCATCTTTTTTGAATTATGTGTCTGGTTGACACAAAAAAAATCAGTAAAAATATTGTACAATAGACCATTTTTTAAAAAAAACGTAATTTCCTGTGAAAAATTCTTATTTTGCTGTATTTTTTAACCACACATTGAATAATCTTCCATCTGCCGTTTACGGGAACTTTGGTCTAAAAACAGATAATATACTGGCAAAAAAATTACCAGTTCAGTTTCTGTTTGTGCTCTCTTTCTGGGATTTCTGGAGTTACTAAAGTGACGGTCTGTGCTGCCACTTCATATCTGACCCGCTGTATAACCATCAGATATATTTAAAACAGCTCCGTGTGTTTTTCAGTCCCTCAAACATCTCAACCGCTGGTTTTTACATTTATTTCCATCCTCGAAGCCAAATGGAAATTCATCTTCCAGTATGTCATATCTATTAAACCATTTTAATTGCCCCTCTGTACAGGGCTGGGGTATTTATCTTTACTTGTTTCTATGGTGCTGTCATAATTCACACGAAGCCAGATGAAATCCGTGCAGCAACATGAAGTGCAAACACGCTGTGGAGGACCTCAGGAAGAGGAGGAGGATTTATAAGCGCAGAGGTTGTGTCGAGTGAAGGGTCTGCTTCTTATCGTTCACCTCCGTCAAGGTCAGCGTGTCCACAGCGGCTCAACAAAGAGCAGACAGACAGCAGCGAAAAGTTTACCGTTCTATTTTTAACTCCTGCAATTTCCTGGTTTTGTGGCGGCAGCGATCTGTCATGTGGCTGGGAGGTTGTGCTGTTTGCGCTGATATCAATTAAAAGTGGATTAACGGGTACATAATGACCTTTAGCAGTAAATTGTGTGTAATGTTGCAAGGCAGGATACAGTATATTCCCCAGATGTCACACCAGGCCCCTGACGTATGATGGAGCAGATGTCTTAGCCAGTCCAAATGGCCCTCTAAGACACACACACACACACACACACAGAGGCTCAGGCTGACATGCATGCATAAACATGTGTTCTCACACATTCCAAATGGCAAACAGACACACACACACGCAGACATGTCGTCTGTCTCACTTGCTCCAGATATTTAAAAATGCTCAGCTTTAATGGAAAAACGGGCACAAAGCGAGCGCTCTCGCAGGGCATCGGCATTCATTTCAGTTTGCCTTCGTCCGTAAACATCAGAGGACGGTGTCAAACACGCAACTGCCTCTGCTTTTCATTCTCATCTTAGATATGCACATTCATCTTTATTTCCCCCCCACGTGAACATTAACAACCTCTTATAAGGAAAGGGAGAAAAAAATCAGATCAGTCTAATTTCTGTCTAATTTGGCTCCTAGAATATCATTTTGTCCAGTTAGAGGAATCGAGAATGATCATTTGCATCAGGGACGTTTCCTTATTAAATCAGCGCCGAGCCTCTGTTCGGCAGCTCACAGGAGAAGCACTTATTGGGTTAAAAGCTCATCTCGTATGGTTTATTTTAAATATACTCTATGCTTCACAGACACTCTGCTGTAAGAGAAAAGATATCAAATCGCTGTCTTTCTGCCTGTAGTCAGGGTTATCTGCAGCTCTGCATGCTCTCTTTTCCCTCCTCTCTGCTCTCTTTAGTATTTCCACCTTCAATTTTCTTTTGTATAGCCTCCTATTCTTTTCTCTGCTGTATCAATATTCTATTGAGTTGCTGTTTGTGGCCCTTTATTTGAGAACTCTGCAGTAGGTCTGCAGATCGCAGAGTCTTTTTCTGGAATGGTGCCCTCTAAATAATGATAAATTACTTGAGCAGTATGCCATTTGCTAATTATATCCATGATTTACTACACAGCCCGACTTAAATCATTCAAACCAGCCTTGCGTAACAATGCCTTTTTTTCCTTTATAAAATGGTTTCCATGTGTATAATCTAAACATTTTATTGGCATATACTGTATAGAGAACGTGCATGCAAAACATTTTTTATTTCTTTTCCAGCCGTGCGTGCACAAATACCACTGTGGGAACTTTTATATGTGTATATTGAAAAGGGGGGAAAATCGAGCTTAGCGTTTTTGCCTCTCTGTTCATTGTTTAATGAATCCAAATCTGGCTCCGACTCCAAGCCTATTATAATTGCTCGCAGGATGTGTTCTATTTCAACATCTTTCCAATGGAAGATCCACTTCTGGCAGAATAGTGTTGGTGTTATAGCATTATCAGGAATATTCATGAATATGGATGCGCAGCATAAATAAACATATGTAAATGTTACACAGCAGATTCACCCCCCTTTTGCTGTAGTGTAAATCGCTTTGATCTGTACTGAATCATATTGTTCTTCATCGCGAGGCTTCACCACATCCAGCGTGTGCTTCACATATGTCGCCGGCTTCGTGTTTTTTGCGGCATCCGTATTGTGTGGCGGGGGGCCGCGCGCTGAGCCACGCCTGATGTATGCTCCTCCTGACAAAGTGCAAAAAAAAAGGGCGATGTCCGAGAAGCAGCGCCGTCATCGGCAACGGCGCGGGCCAGAACGGAGGCAGGATGACCCCGCTGCACGTGCGCGCACGGGAACTCGCCGCGAGCCCGGCCGCAGGCCCGCGCACATCGCATCGAGACACTTCTGTTGTCAGCTGAAAATATTATGTCTTGTAGTGGACTGAAAGCACCATATGGTGAAATGTTTTTATGGTGTTGATATGAGTGATGGCTCACTTGGCGGAGCTGGATCGACCCATATTCAGATGCCTACTCCACACCCCCCACACCCCACCCCCGTCCCAATACACACACATCAAGTGGAGCCGAGCCGACGACTGGAAGAGAAAAGACATGCAAGTGTTGGTTGAATGCACAATCGTCTTCATTATCACTTTGTGTTTCATTCTGTGCTACTTTTTAAAATCTCCTTTTTCAGGAATTAAATACTTCCTCTTCTTTATCGTAGTTAATGAAATGCATGTCTTTTTTGTCACTTCATGTGACCTAATTTTCTTTGTTCAGGGAGGTTACATGACCCTCGGGCCCACATTCCCTGCTCCAATAAATAGATTTTGATATCCAGTCGATGTAATAAGCAGGTTAATTATTCACTGTTTTACTGTTTCTCTCGCTCTCTTTCTTTCCCGCCCTCTCAGGAGAGAAACCCTACCGCTGCCCTCATTGTGACTACGCCGGCACCCAGTCTGCCAGTCTCAAGTACCACCTGGAGCGCCACCACCGCGAACGTCAGAACGGCTCCACCACGTCAGGCTCCTCCTCTGGCCACACCCCTTCTTCTGACCACAAAGAGGATCATGGGAAGACGGGCGGAGGCATCTTTGCCCGACCGGACGTCCTCCGTAATGTTTTCAAGAGCATGCCCCCCAACCTGGACTTCAGAGCAGGGCCGCTGCTGCCGCATCAGTGGGCATCGGCTCCCATCGTGTCCTCTCACAACCGGGATCGTGACTGTGGGGACCGCCGCTTTGACTCCGCCTCTTCAGCTGAGAACACGAAGACTGCCGATGGACCTTCCACCATAGTCTCCGCGGACGGCGCCGCCAGCTTCTCTGACCTAAGCCGGGCTTACCAAAGCATGATGGGAAACGGAGTCCACTTTCAGGGTTCTCTCCAGGCTTTCATGGACAACTTTGTCCTCAGCTCCATGAAGAAGGATGTGAAGGACAGCCAGAGTCCAGCCCAGCTCCAGGCCCAGCGCTACCATGACAACGGCGAGCCCAAAGCCAAGAGGGCCGCCTCCGGGGAGCAGGACAGAGAGGAGAAGCCTGAACCCAAACAAAACTCGGAGCCGGGCAAACCCGGGTCCCAGTACGAACCGCTCGATCTGTCTGTGTCGGTCCGACCCGAGTCTGCATCCGGATCACTCCCTGGCACCTCCGTCACCATTCACGATAACGTGGCGTGGCACGGATGTCTCTTCTGCTCCTTCTCCACTTCCTCATTGGAGCTCATGGCTCTGCACCTCCAGGCCAACCACCTGGGCAAAGCCCCTCTGCAGCACGCCGACGCAGGCAAGGACGCTCACCGAGAGGGTTCTCCGACCACCTCCACCCTTCACTCCTCCAACACCAAGGCCTCGGGCATGGCCCCGGAGAGAGATGGAGACAGAGATGGAGAAAAAGGCCAGGGAGGCTGGAATAACCACATGGAGCAGCCATATAACCCCTTCCAGAGTGAATTCTACAGAAGGTTTGGCGGCTTGTATGATGGATCTCCAAGAGTCAGTCAGGGCATTCAGGGGTACATAGCCCAAGCAGACCACGGTCTGGACCTGCCCAGCCAGGTCTTCGGAGGGGCCTCTTCAGCCGGCCCTGACCAGATGGGCGACAGGGGCTCCTGTGGAGATGCTGAAGATGACCAAGTTGGATCTGAAGACGAGGCTGGAAAAACCGGCGTGCGCAGCACCAACGAGACCCCGTCGACCACACCCAAGAGACGGCAGCAAAACCACTCTGACGAAGACGAGGAGGAGGGAGGAGTGGCTGAAGAAGAGGAGGAAAGAGACGAGGATGGGCAGATGGACGTGGACAGAGAGGAAGAAGGAAGTCCCAAACAGCTCCAAGATGATTCCGCTCTGCCCCTGAGGAGCGGAGCGGCCATGGCGACACCGTCCTCCGCCATGACTCCACTTTCTCTGGTTCCTCCGCCCCAGAACCAGACTCTGCCGCTGGAGAAACAGTGGCAGCAGGGCTTGGGCCTCCTAACCCCCGGAGGTCCACCAGGACTGTTGAAGGCGGAGCAGCAGACCCACCTGGAGCAGCAGATGAACATGCTGTCTGTCCTGAGAGCCTACAGCAACGACAGCCTCCCTGCGTTCAACGGCCTGGGCGGCGGAGCGGGCGGGGCGCCCCCGGGGGGCATGAAGAGGTCGGACGCACCTGGTGAGTGTGTTTAACCCCTCGTGGTTCAGAATATTAAAAGACAGCCACACGAGCAGAAAGCGACCCCAAAAAAGACAAATATGAGCACAAATCCAATTTTCCCACCAGTGCGTGCGCACCAACACTAAACACAGCAGACTAACACGTATACGTTTTTGCCTGACACCCACAAAGGAATCTCAGGCACTCACTAAATGTCTCGAGATTGGCTCTGAAGTGATTTCAGCCTTATTTCAAGCAAGTTTAGAAGCTATCATGCCGGCGACTAGCAACAGATTAATCTTTATTACACGTTTATATTACTGGGAGTGCAGCGCCTCCCTCTCGCTCCCCAGCATGGGGGGAATAACCCTGGATGAGTCAGAGCAGGACCTCAGCTCCCCGTGCCATCTCCTCCACATGTCTCTTAACTATCTTAGCTCTCATAAAGCCGGCTCCCAAAAGCCCATTACTTTATAAGACTCGTCGATCTATGACCCTGTGAAAAATGAACTGTCAACTTTCATGATTCTGCTAAGGTTATAGCCGCTCCTTGAGACTGAAGAAGGAAGTCTTTTTCTCTCGCTCTCTCTCCTTTTTTTACAATGCTCCTCTTCTGTTTAGGGCTGGTTGGTACTTCTGAGTGTCTCTATAGGAAGAAAATAAAAGCCAGTGTTGGTGTTGAGCTTTAAAAAACCGGCTTATAGACACGACGGAGATGGATGACTTTGCTCCGCTGCTGTCGGTTTGACTCGCTGTGACCCTCGTAATATTATTAACAATCAGGAATATTTTTCTTTGTTTGGAGAACAAAGGAACGGAACATTTTTCAATCAAACGCAGAGAGAAAATTATATAAAACATAAATAAAATAACAGCTGCTGGTGTTATCTGTGGCAGGACACGGCTCTGAATATCTCGATGCAAGTGTATATGTTTCATTAAAAAGAGAAATGGCTTTGTGAGAGATTGCCCTACATATTGTTTAGTCCAAAATGTGGGCCGGCCCCTCTGCAGCGAGGAATGCTCGACCTTTATAGATAAGGCTTTCTCTGAGGAACAAAGGCCTTTCTTATATGTCCTCGTCTGAGACGGCCATTCATTGTAATTAAAAAAAAAACAAGTTATTGTGTGTCCGACTTCCCGGCAGATCTCTGGGATGGCACCGAAGATAGCATAGAGAAGAGTGAAAGACTATAGGGAACATGAGTAACATGGAGACATGTTGTGGTGAATGTGAGCGAGTGAATTGTTGTCCCGAGTGTGACATTACTCCAGGTGACTCTTCGCCTCCCGTCCCGGCTAAAGATGCTCTGACTGAAACATGCACGTAGAGCTGGACGGAGAGCTAAAGTGCAGAGACGTTCGGAGGGCTGGGGAAGCTACAGAGCTGTGCTTCGGCTAATGTGACCACGTGAAAAGTTCATGCTGACCGAGTTCAAAGGCCACTGTTTCAGGATGCGCTGCGATAGTTTCTCGTGCTGTTGTTGTGCAAGTGGAGGAGACAAAACAGACACGCTCGTTTCTGGGTGAAATGCACAGTTGTGTTATACGTCCACTTGTAAAACACTCATGTCTTGTTTGGGGGGGGAACTGTGGCTGGAAGAGCAGAGCCGCTGTTCCACTGTTGAGGATGAAGGCGGGGGTGGCAAAGACGTCCGAAAAACTCAATTCAGACCTGGCAGAATGTGATTATCTGGAGTGGGTTTGCATTAGGTTTGTATGCAAATACAGCATAAATCATTAATATCGAAATTCTGCCCTGAATGCGCGTGAGCTGTCGCGGGGCACGCGTCGCACGTCTGGAGTGGCCGGCGCTTCATTAGTATGCCCGGAGGAGGAGGGGAAAGGGTTCCGCGTGCTCTGACACGAAACAGATAGAAACGTAGACGGCTGCGTGCACAAGCCACGCCTCCTGAATCGGATTTATCAATAAATGTCATTAAGAGCAGCGGTGGGCCCGAGGTCTCTGCAGTCAGCCGAGGTATCTGGTTACTGAGGTACAGTACGCCGTGTAAAGATTGACATGAACCCGCACCGTTAGCTGTACTGTAGATGTGCTTAACACAATCAATACTTGGCTGCAGTGCAGACCTATCTATAGCCATGCATTATCAAACATGAAGTATTACATTATTCAAACAGTGCTGTACATGCTGCGGCTGCTTGCGAACAATGCTCCTCACATCGTATTACTTACATTACCTCAGCCCCCCCGCCCGCCCACCTCTGCTCCTCTAATATATGACATGTGGACCTGAGAAGGCTGAGACTGACAACCTGAAGAGGAGGAGGTGTTGATAAAAGTGCAGGACTTGGATGAGCACGTTTAGGATTTGAGGAAAGAAAATGGCAGAGCTCAGAGCTGAGCACCTCTTACTGCGGGAGAAGTGTGCTACAGAAGCCGGCGGTTAGTGGATGGAAGTGAAAGCAGAGAGGAGAGTGCTGTGTGTTCTCAATTAGAGCCGTGACTCCCGCTTTCTGAGCGCTCTCACGCCGCGCTTCTCCTCAGAAGTGCTGCGGTTTGTTTGTGTTCGCTGCAGATGGAAACTCAGAGGTTCAGCTCGGCGCGCTCTGAAACAGCCGGCTGTCGGTGAAGGAGCCGCGTGACGTCACCTGAAGTCCAGCCGAGCGGCGTGATGACTGAAACTCTAGCCCCGCCCTGTGTTCGCGCCTGTCTGATTGACAGAACGAGCTGCGTGTAGTTTCAGGAGCGGCCCGTCGGCTCTTCTAATCGTAGGATGTTTGGACATTTGTGATGTCTGGACGTTGCGTTGTTCCCTGCGTGCCGCTGAGCTGCAGTCACCTTATTAGACACGTGCCAGCGAGCGGTGCGGCTGCTCTGGTCCTGTCCACGAGCCAAGTTTCTCTCAGAAGAGACGATGGCTTTCCAAGTGCCTCTTTAGCTCGCTTGGCACTGCGTTACCACCGGCCAGCTTCTCCTGCACACGACTGGGCGGCGCGCTGCTGACATGCCCGGTGAAGCTGAAGCAGGTTTCTTTGCTCCTCAGGTGGTCGGCCTCTGCGCTGGTACACAAATGATTCCAGCACACCAGAACACTGGCATCCGCTGGTCTGAACAACACTGAGATTTGCATCAGACTTTCTAATTGTTGAGACGTCGTGGCAGACGTTTGTCAGGTGGGAGGAGCCAGTCCAGAGCAGGCGCGCCCTCCTGGTCGTATGCAGGTTATTGTCAGAGGTGCCTCCGCCGTGAGTGTCGAGATCACATCCTCACAGCGCGCTGGCACACGGCGAGATGAGCGTGTTCGGTCACGCTCACTGGTGACATCACAGCACACATGCCAAAGACCCCTCGTACATACGTGAGCAACGCCGGCAGCTTTGACGTGGACAAACACTCACAAACATTCACACACACTTCAAACTTTTTGTGATGTAAAATGTGGTAATTGCCAATAATACTGTCCTTATCAGGTGTTTAATGACCAGGATTTGGTTGCTGTTTGTATTTAACACACACACACAGACACACACGCGTGGAAAGCAGTTCACATTGCTGCTAGACTCCCCTGTGTTCACTAATGAGCCCGACATGTGGCTTACCTGTGTCGCTGCAATTATTCTGTACACTTAAAAGTGAGGCTGAGGGTTCACAGCTGACAGTCCTGGACGGGCAGATGGTGCTTATGAACTCATTTATCAATACTGGGGACACAGGCGGGCTATTGGTCGCTATATTTAATTCATTTTTGCAGTAAAAGTCCAAAGCCGGCCTTTAAAGCCTGTTTCAGGTGCACACACACAATCAGAGGAGCATCTTTGTGTTTCTGTGTTTGCTTCCAGTCTTCAGAGTGCTTCCTAACAGCAGAGGGCATCTATAGCATGGAAACATCTGGATCCTTCCGCTGCTCTTTCTTTAGTGCTCGCTCAGCTCTGAGCCAGAGAATCATTTCACTGGTTCACCATGGGAGCCTCCGGTGGGCGTTTGAGAAACTGCAGCTTCAGTTGTCTCATTATAATCTCCGCTCTGATGCTTAGTTAGAATTTTTGATCTACCTATCCCTTATCTGGGTTTGGGTTGCGGCATGAGCGGACCTCCCTCTCCCCGGCCACCTCCTCCAGCTCACCCGGGGGACACCGAGGTGCTCCTAGCCCAGATATAATCTCTCCAGCGTGTCCTGGGACTGCCCGGGACTCCGGTTTGAACTATCACCATCTTTAATTTACAGATTTTTCAAAACATTAAAATAAGACCTTTATTTAACAAGAGAATTTACAAAGTGACAATAACACAAGATAAAAGTAAAGAGAGGCATCACACAAAAGTGTGTAAAACACAATTCAAACAAGAGCCGTGCAGCTGTGCGAGGGTCACAATCAACGCTGTGACATCAGTTAAGCGAGTTTCGGGTTTGACTGCTGGAGCAGACGGTCTGCTTAAATCGTTTATTTGTGCCAAATTGAATTGGAGGCTTCTTGTAAACAGTTTAACCCGATTAGAACTTCAACCAGAGTTTGACCACAGTCCGAGTGACTGAACCGCCCTCCTCCCTGCGTTTTCCCACAGTCCGCGATTCTTCCTCCTGTCTGTCTGCCTGTCTGTCTGATTGCTGGAGGGCAGGGGCTCCTGCAGCGATTAAGCCATCTGGAGGCCTGTCTGCCTGCCTGTCTGTTGGTGAGACGCCTCCCCGGGCTCTCATTGTGTGCAGAGATGACAGCTCTGACGGCTGCTGAAGGCGAGGTGCCATTTCCCACGTGCGTCTACATTACCGGTTTAACTTGTGCAGAGGTGCATTATCACCTTGTCACCCAAAAGTGCAAATAGTGTATTTTTCAAAGAGCAATTAAAGGTAATAGCTGCTGTCAGGCTGCACGGATGGGACCTGTTGCGCGCTCTCAGATGTGATAGCTCTAAAAATATTTCCCCCGCTCGTCAGCCGGTCCTCTCCGAGAGCGCTTCCCGCCGGCGGCCGCGCGTTTTTCCTGGAAGTTCAGCGAGCGAGAGGTGGGATGGAGTTGCTCTTGATAAGGAAACAGAGACGAGTGCCGGGTGATCG